CAGTAATACAGTACCTCTTAAGGTGACAGCCTATCAGAATCTCCTGGGGAGGTTTTAATATTACACCCAAGAGGGAGCCAGAGGGAAATTCTCTCTTTCCCCCTCGAATTGATGGAGGGAGGCCTTGCTCCTGACCCATCAGAGTGTTGTATTCTTCAGGTGGCTGGAATGGAGGGAAGGTTGAGACCCACCGTCTAGTGCTGGGGGAGGGTCCCAGTGGGACCCAGCCTGGTAGAGCTGGCATGTGGATTTAGAGACCCCTGGACATGTGCTGGGGGACGTGCCTTGTCCCCTCCTGTCCTCCACTTTGTATGCTGATTTATTTAGTAGCTGAGGTCCCTCCTGTGCAGAGAAGTTGCACGGCGCCCGTGGTTGGAACCAGACGCACGTAGGCTCGTCCCCTGTGCCTGGGAAGGAGAACCAGCAGAAGGCAAATTGCCAGCAGAGAATCTGGGGTCCTCAGAAATAACGCAGCCCCAGAGAAGCAGAAGAATGGCCCAGCACGCCCGGAGTGGCCAACAGCACTGAAGTTCAGATGTGCATGAGTGGGGGCAGTTGCCCCCGAAGCCCATCTTGACTTTGCCGGCCTCGGGATGAAAGGACAGTGAGTGAATGTCAAAAGCCATCCCCCGAAACCCTCAGGGTCCAGGCGACTCCGCTGTGAGACCCCTGTCCCAGAGCGGGTCAACACAGAGGAGTTGGTCCCCTACCAGCAAAATAGAAGGTGAACACGGGCCACTCAGGAGAGCTCACCTTGGGCAGCAGCTCGGGGGCCAATGGCAGAGACACTGGAACATATAGCACAGTAACCATCGCTGGGCCTGCTGAGATCAGATGCTTCAAGAACGGCAGCTGGGGGTAGGGGAGGGCATAGCTCAGCGGTTAGCATGCATGAGGTCCTGGGTTCAATCCCCAGCACCTCCATTTAAAAAAGAAACAAAAGGCCACCAAGAAAATAAACAAAGGAGCCATACCACACCCCAGGAGCAGGACTGGCTGCAGGATCAGCAGAGACGCCCCATAGGTCCCCAGAGAGGAAGGAGTGATGGAGCCCCTGCACGTTCACACATGGCGGCTCCCGAACTGGAGATCCTGGGACCTGGAGAGTCACGGAACACATGCACGCCATGGGCAGGGAAGAGGAGTCTGTTCCTTCTGTAGGGTCTCACTTTCATTTATCCTTAGAACTCTTTATTTGTGCCAAGTAACTTAGATCAAAACTTTTTTTTTTTTTTTTTTGCTGAAATGATCTGGATAGTTGCTTCAATTATCAATCGAAAGGATAAAGATATGTACTTTCTTTCCATCCCCGTAATTCTTACACATTTACAACCTGTGTTGACAAGTACCATCAATTTCCCAACAAGGCATTGTTCAAGTTGGGTGAAATCCACAAAGGAAACGTAGTCACCAGACGATGTCTTCTTTTTCACGAGATTGTCATGGCGACTCGTCCACCAGGAAGGGCTCTTCATTCCAGTCTCTGCCTTTTCAGCTGTTGTTTGGGTTTGAATTGCACAATCTCTGCATTATGCTTTATACAAACACATCCCAGATCGTAGTTCATTGCCCTAGAGTATATTTTACTGTATGTACTAGACTGGCTACGAGCCATTCTGTCTGTGTTTATATAAAGCCAAACCACATTCTCATAGATTGCTCGCACAGCTATGAAAAAAAAGTATCTAAGGTCTACTAGTTGCCTTCATCAGCCTGTGAAACCAACATCATTTTATCTTTAGAAATTCCATCTGATGCCCTACCCCATTCAAAACAAATAAACAATTCTCGATCGGTGGTCTGCACTGCAGTCCCTTGTGCTAAAAACACGCTGCTCCCCTCCATCTGATCCCACCTCCCAGGCTGAAAGGGAAGCAATGGTGATCTGAGCTGAAAAGGGCTGAACAGGACACCAGATTCTGAGATCTGCCCCCTAGACCCTGCTTTCCTGATCTCTCAGGATTGGTCCAGGTGAGGAGGCATCCATTCTGAGCTGGGGCAACCAGGGAATCATGCTGGAAATTTGGACCTGGGTCAGTGAGAGTCACATTGGTCTCTCTAGGTATTTGAACACTGGGCTGAAGAACATGAGCCCTGCTGGCAGCGAAAGAGAAGAAAGGGACAGATGGGCACAGAAAGGGAGGACCAAGATGGGACACCAGATGAGGGAGGTGAAGTCACTGTAGCTCCTGACACCCAACTGCATTCCTGACTCTGCGTTCCTTGAGACACCGCCAGGGCCTTATAATGAATGCCCCCTTTGGGTTTATGCTAGTTGGAGGTTACTTCCATCAAAATATTTCTAATTAGCACAAGGAGGTGTTGGAAGCCAACATAAAGTAAAAATAGCGATAATAACCATCATTGAAAGAGTGCAGTCTTCCAGAAGGAAAAATGAAGACTGGGTGATTAAGTCCTTGCATGAAGTCACACACCAGGCAGCCAGGCCCCTAGACCAGAGGATTAACCTCTTTACCATCTGGCTTCTCAAAAGGGACTTAAAAGCTTGGTCTGGCCCCAGGCAGACAGGGGTCAGCGTCCTTGCTGCTCCCCTTGCCTGAGGCTAATTACTGACCCTCAATTTCTTGTGAAATGCAAGTAGACAATAGTCATGAAATAGAGTTGTTGCAAGGGTCAATGAGATAGCGTGATCTCTGTTGTTCCAACAGGTGTTCAACAGGTTATTTCTGTTTCCCATTTTTCCCTTTATAATGAATTACAGTGAGTAGACCTGATGGAAATGTTGTGAAGCGCAGTGATGACCAGCATCCTTTGTGTTCTCACTGTCAGACACGATGCTGAGATCAATGTTCTTGACTATGTAGGGAAGCGTTCTTCGATTCCTGGTTTGCTACAAAGATTTCTTTTCTTCAGAAATTGACAGTGGATATTTGCAAGTAACTTCAGTTTCTAATCAAAAAAAGAAAAAGAAAAGCCATATTTTTGTCCTTTGACCTTATAATTAATTTTAATTATAGAATGCCTAATAATAAACTATCTTCAGTTTCCTAGAATCAAACATCCTTAGTCATTTGATGTTATTCATCATGTGCTGGTCCTTTCTCTTGTGTTTTATTTATGACTTTTTTATGTATGAGTGGGATGTCTTTAGTTTGCCTTCTTTTGCTCTTTTCCAGATTCCATTGTGTGGTTATGGTAGCCCAAGAATGACGGATTAGGAAGTTTTTCTACCCTTTTTTGGCTTCCGGGACTGTTTAAATGGCAGGGGTGCTTCCTGCCCATATGTATATATCTGGCCAGTCCCAGTGTCAATTTTGGATATGGTCCTTTTTTTTTTTCAAAGTTTTCTAGTTACACTCTGGTTATTTGTCTGTTTAAGTTCTTAGTTCTTCTTAAATAGATTTGAATAATTTATATTTTGCTGGAAATTTTACAATTCATTGAGATACTCAATTTTTTAACGTTGAACATTGAGCCGAAAATGCTCCTCTCCTGTAATATTTGTAGCCGCTCTACATCTGCGTACTGCCAGCCAAGATGACCATTTCTCTTTACTGGCCCTCCAGGGCCACCTCTAAGTGAGACAGGGTCTTGGCAGGCACTCTGTGTTGACGTTTGCTCTGCTTCATGGGTGGTCCCAGCATCTCCACCACATGGCCACAGCCCCACCATCACGTTGAGAGCATCAGACGTGATGCCTTAGAGCCTAGTTAGATTTGGGTAAGCCTGCGTGGGGCAGGAGTGAACTGGGTTTTTATACGCAGGATGGTGGCCACCATGCTGGGGACCCGTCAGTTATTGGGGTGGTCAGGAAAGAGCACTGGGGGTGGGGCACCCTGGCCTCAAGGACTCCAAGACATCGGCTGTCCCATGAGCCTCCCCATCCACGGTGCCCCCATCGCACCTTTACGAGGTTCTGCTCACCTCTCGTCTCTTCAGAACCAATAAAAGTTGCATGTTATTTCATGCAAAAAGTAGCAACTACTTTAAAACAGCAATTCGAAGTGTTGTTCATAATTAGTCTTACTACAGGACCAGATAATCTAATCTGAACTGTTTTTATAGCAGTTACAGAGTACGAAATCTTTTGAGTCTTAGAGCTTCATGAAAGGTAGTGGAGAAGGGTTAGCTGGAAAATCCACCGGGGAGGATCTGAGAAAAGTCACAACTAAGTCCAGGCTTAGGTGAAAATCTAGGTAGCTAGGAAGAGACAGGAGAGACCCCGGTCATGGAGGCAGGTACCAGAGAGATGGGCAGAGGGCGTGGTGTGGGAATCTATGTGCAAGACCAGGTAGACCAGAAGCTGCATTAGGAGCAGGGCAACAGTGGACTCCAGCTCCCGGGAGCCACAGCGTTCAGCTAAGCGGGTCACCAGCCAGAATGCCAGGGAGCTGTTTGCCCCAACAAGGACTTAAACCAGTGGAAGCCCTTACCTCTGGAGGTGGCCAGGTCTGTGTGACCAGTTCCAGGAGAAACCTTGTGCTTCATGTGTGGAGATATAGCTCCTCTTACTGCTTCCCACGACGTGATTCCATGTACCTCCTCCCCCACAGTGTGAGCACAACTGTCACCTGTGGTCCATGCACGAATCCCCCACCTCCCAGCGTGGTGTCAGGCGCACGGTAGACCCTCGGGTGGTGTCTGTGGAAAGCTTGAATGGATGGTCTGGGAACTTTCCACATCCTTGATTTCAGATCCCTGGGTTCAGTGCGGGTTGTTCATCGAGGGTTCCAGGATTCCCCATCATCAGCGCTTTTCTTCTCTTGGGTCCTGATACTCTCAGGTCTGAGAAAGGGGTTCCGGCAAAGTGAGTCTGTTCTGGTACTTGCAGGAGAAGAGGGCTCCTTGAGCACATACCCAAGTTCACGGCAGTGTTGGTGGTAAAGAATGAGGATTAGGGTGGGTATCTCTTGTGTCATCGACTGGCAAAATTTTTAAGTGGCTTAAGACGAGTACTCCAAAGAAACCATCCAATGAAAATACTTCACTGTGTGAGTTCCCACCTGCCCTTCAACTGCTCTGCCTTGTCTGTGTTCCAGGTTCAGGTTTAGTGGCCGGATCCTAGGCCTGGCTCTGATCCATCAGTACCTTCTGGATGCTTTCTTCACAAGGCCCTTCTATAAGGCCCTCCTGAGACTGTAAGTGCCCACCCAGCCCTGCCTGCAGGACAGTGGGCGCTGGCCTCCCTGGCACCTCTGGCCATTCTGTCCCTGTTCTGCCCTGATCACTCCTGCTAGGTTTATCATGGTTTGCTTTTCTGTGTGCTTAGCCATCACACAAAACTTTCAGTACAATGGAAAAAAGAAAAAAGCTTTTGGAGATCTTATGTAAGCATAGGAGAACATCATATAATGGATATAAGTTAATTTCTATTAATAGTTATAGTAACATGGCAAACATTGCATTAAACTATTAAGTAGAATTGATCTGTCTCTAACTTGATTATTTTCAAATGATACGTTTCTCCAACTGCCACAGAGAGTCCCTGAGTCAGTCATTGTTTTGTGTTTGTTATTGTAAACATTTTGGTATTTCCTTTTCTGATAACAAAAATTCCTGAATGAACTGGAAAGATTCATTAATATATTCAAAAGTATTGAATTGTGAGAATGAGTCGGTATTGTTTCAGCCAGGAGTGGCATAACCACATTTTGGTGTGAGGTCTGCGCAGCTGTTTATTTAACAATTCGTTTACCTTTCTCCCCTTGGATACATCCAGGCCCTGCGACTTGAGCGACCTGGAATACTTGGATGAGGAATTCCACCAGAGCCTGCAGTGGATGAAGGACAACAACATCACGGATATCCTCGACCTCACGTTCACCGTGAACGAAGAGGTCTTTGGACAGGTTTGTGAGATGTGGGGCTGGGGAAAGACATCTTGTTCTTTATCGTGGAAAATTCACAGAACGTTAAAATTTACCATCAGAAGCACTTTTACACATGCTGTTCATTCAGTGTGCTGGGGATGTTCACAGAGTTGTGCAGACCATCTCCAGAACCGCTTCATCTTGCAAAACTAAAACTGTGCCCATTAAACAGGAGTCCCCACCACTTCCCTCACTCTCCCCAGTCCCTAGCAACCTTTCTGCTTTTTCTTATTATAAATATTATGAATCTAAGTACCTCATATAGGTGGAATCATATGGCATTTGTCTTTCTGTGGCTGGTTTATTTCACTTGGTGTAATGCCTTCAAGGTTCATCCATGTTAAAACATGTGGCGGGATTTCCTCCTTTTCGGGGCTGAATAATATTCCACAGTATGTATAGACCATATTTTGTTTAGCCATTCATCTGGTGATGGACATTTAGGTTGGTTCTACCTTTTGGCTGTTGTGAATAATGTTGGTATAAAGAGAGGTCCCTGTCCAAGTCCCTGCTTTCAATTCTTTTGGATGTGGACCCAAAAGTGGGACTGCTGGATCATATGGTAATGGGATTTTGTGTTTAAAAATAAGGACTATTGTTCATTCAAAATATAATTTTTTGAGGACTATTCTCTATTAAAGGTACCCATGCCTTCTTCCTTCCTTTTCTTATTATGATATGGATCTAGTTAATAGATTTTTTTTGAAAATCGGATGTGATCATGGATGAGAAAACATTTTTGTAAAATGTGCAATACATCTATCTGTAAGGTATTTCTCTTACCTCTGTAATTACAATAATATTGCTTGCATCACCTGAGATGTTTACTAGATGAATGTGTAAGATACACTGTTCCCTGTGCGTGACTCCTTTTAGTCCATCCTTTACATTTACCCTATCTTAGAAGGTAAATTTGTTAAGTTAACACATTATTTAGCAAAATGTATTAAGACAAATGGGCACCCATCTTCAAAATGTTATGTTAGATCCCAAACTTAACTCACTACACTAAAATAAATTCCACTTGGGTGAAAAGCCAAATGTTAAAAAATATATGTATTATATTATAATTATAATATTAATTGTAATTATAATATATTATATATTATATAATTTTATTATATATACTTGCTATATTTTATAATTTTATAAGAATTATATATATAATAAAAAGATGAAAATGAGAGAATTTTTCTTTCTAATCTTGCTGTAAAGAATGCTGCTGTAGATAGGACACAAACTCAAAATCACAAAAGCAAAGATTGGCGGCGTCAACTAAAATTAGTTTTTTAATACTGCATGGCAAAAATACATCACAAACAAAGTAAAGATGGCATCACATTTGCTACATTATAGTGCATAACACAGATAAAAAGCTGTTCCTTGCAATACAGGATGAGATCCTCCAGATCAGTAAGAAATGGCTAACAACACAGTGGAAAATTGGCAAAGAATATAAATCGATAGTTCCCAGAAAAGGAAATTCTCAACTTCATTCACAGTTTTTTGGAATGTAAACTAAAGCGTAGTGGAATACCATATTCCCTTATGAGAATGTCAAACATTGGAAAGTTTAGCCATAGTCTGTTTTGCGGGTGGTGTAGAGGAGCCAGCACTCTGTCCAGGAGTGGAGGTGGGAGTGAGCAGAGATCTGGTTCACCCACTATGACAGGCACCTTTGTGCTCTCCTCCCTTGTTCTAAACGCACCTGCCTTTGACTCAGCATCCTCGTCCAGAAATTTGTCCTACAGATACAATCACATTGAACTGAAATGACTAACGCATCAGGATCTTCACTGCAGCACTGTCGATAATTGCAAAAGATCTGAAACCATCTCAATACTCAGCAGTGGAGCAACGGTGAAATAAATTGTGATTCACTCACTCTGTGAAATAGTGGACCAGTGATGGGTGCTGTGACACCCCGGTCCACCAATATACATATAAATCATAAACAGTAATCAGGGTATTATATCAACAGCAATAAAGAAAGAATAAGACGGGTCTAAATTGATGGAAAACATTGCCAAGATTTATTTTTAAGGGAGAAAAGTATGGAGATGAACAGTGTGCGTAATATGCAACCGTTCGTTGGAAAAGACGTGATCTCTGCATATTGAATTTCCCTGGAAGGGAAGTAAGGGTGATTTTTCCCCAGGTAGGGAGATTCTATGGCTAGAGGATGAGGTGGGAGAGAGACTTGCTTTTCATTGTGTGGCCTTTTATACCAGTTGAATTATAGTCCATGCACACATACCATCTAACGCACAGAAATCAAGTAAACTACAGATGACCTAATACAGAAAATTATTGGGAAAAAAACAACATTGAAAATACAGAAGTACAATCCTGCATGTGTGTTAGTGTAGGAACTGAGCAACTCAGAGAAAAGTTTGAAATGTTCCCAGGGACAAAAATAAGACTATGTAGTAGCTCTAGAATAATCTGTATCTGTTTAAAGCTGAAACAGATCCTGTCTTTCTTCAAATACGGTCCCCAAGAACAATGACTTTGGTCTTAGAAAGCTGGGTTGTAGCCATTCTTGCGGCAAGTCGTGAGAGCGTGAGGAGCAGACAGACAGGCAGGCTCAAGTGAAAGACGCCGCAGGACATTTTTCTTTTATTTCCATTATACTTCTTGAGTTCAAGAAACGTGTTTCCTCTTCGTGAAGCAAAAATGCAGCTTTTTTAAGGCGCTTGATTTAAGTATCTGCTTAGAACAACCTTGTTAGTCACTTCCAGGAAAGGAAAAAGAGCCAAGGAGGTGATGCTACTGAACTGTGTAAAGAGGACTTTTTGCGAATTGTTCATCCTTCTAAAATCTACACGTCTCACTGCCAGAGAAGCTGAATTGACAAGCGTCCGGATTTTTGTTTCCACACAAGGTAACGGAAAGGGAGCTGAAATCTGGAGGGGCCAACACCCAGGTGACGGAGAAGAACAAGAAGGAGTACATCGAGCGGGTGGTGAAGTGGCGGGTGGAGCGCGGCGTGGTGCAGCAGACCGAGGCCCTGGTGCGGGGCTTCTACGAGGTGAGGCGCCGCCCGGACAGCTCGGGAGGAGGAGCGGGAGGAAGAGTGAGGCGAGGCGAGGCGGGAACGGGGCTCAGCTCTACTCACCAGCGTGCAGAGCGGACCCCCTGGGGGTCGGGGGGCAGGGGGCAGGGGTCTCTGGTTAACCCAGCTCTAGTGGGCGGTGACAGACACTCTCCCAGAAGCAGCATCCATGTGGCCTCGCTGTGCCAGATGGGAAAGCACATGGCACCTCCTGTCCAGACGTGGGCAGGCTGAGCTTCCTTTGATTCAATGAAATAAAAAATCAGTGAAATGAAGGCACTGGAGTGTATTTTGTCATACAGGCAGGCCTCGGAGATAGCGCACGTTCGGTTCCAGACCACGGCAATGAAGCTAGTATCATTAATCATAAAGCAAGTCATAAGAATTGTTTGGTTTCCCAGTGTATAGAAAAGTTGTGGTTACAGTATTCTGTGCAATAGCATCACATCCAAAAAAAGAAAAAAGAAAAAAGCAATGTACATACCTTAATTTAAACATACTTTCTTGCTAAAAAATGCTAACCATCATCTGACAACGCAGGGTTGCCCCAAATCTTCCATTTGTAAAAAAAAACACAGTATCTGAAGAGTACAATGAAGCAAAACACAGAAAAACAAGGTCTGCCTGTAGTGTCGCTTTTTGCTACGTAACCCATGCTGAGGTGGTAAATCAAGAGGACAGTGACAACTGCTGGCCTTCCTCACACAGGAAAAATGGGCCGTGAGAGGATGGCCGTGTCCCAGGTCCCAGGCACGCCCCTGGGATGCGCTCCATCAAGTGAGGGTCCCTGGCTTTGCACAGGAAAGAATTCAAGAGCAAGTCACAGCTGAGTGAAGGTAGACTTATTCAGAGAGACACATACTCTGCAGACAGAGGGCAGGCGGTCTCAGAAGGCAAGAGAAAGGCCAGGAGGTGCGGGGTTGCGAGTTTTTATGGACTTGATATCTTCGTATGCTAGCAAGTGGGAGAATTATCCCAACTACTTTGAGAAAGAGGCTGGGATTCCCAGGAAGTGGGCCCCCACTGACGTTTGGACCTTTTATGGTCAGCCTCGGAACTGTCCTGACACCCGTGGGAGTGCCGCTCACCATGTTAACATATTACAATGAGCATAACATATAATGAAGCTCTGGTTCTATCTGGAGTTGAGTCTTCTGCCATCTTGGTGCCAATTACTGCCTGTTTCCCTCCTGTCTCACTCCTGTGCACCAAAAATTGACATCCTTAAACTTTTCCAGTTTAAAAACAAGAGGTTGTCCATGGTTCCTCAGGGCTTGGGTGTCAGAGGTTTTCTTTGCTGCCGTGATGGAGAACAGGATGGGTCACTGGTTTGACTGAAGGAGGGACCCATGGCAGGTGTGCAGTTGTACCTGACACATTTGGCAACAAGATGTAAAGCTGGTGCTCAGAACCCTCCCAGATCTTTGGAGGAGGGAGGGGAGGAAATGAGGGGAGAAGGGAAGGAAAAGATGGTCTTTGTAATGTATAATAGCCATTCCTAGGAAATAGGCCCTAGTTTTACATAAAAGAGAGGATCTCTTTTAGGTGAAGTGGTAACACTCATAGCTAATGAATCACTTCAAGGCAACTTGGACCTTTTGCATTTAAAACGCAATGTGACTTGGAAACCTAAGTGGGGCTCGAAAAAGTCGAGTCAGGCTTGTTCATAATACCATTCTGAGAGGGAGTCTCAGAGAGTGATGAAAAGCCAGGGGCCTTTTTTGCGTTCCCAGCTCATGAACGGGTTGGGTTTCAAAATGTTCAAGTCGTGATTTTGAACTTAAAGACGATAGCACATTGGGGGAAAAACAAGTTGTCGACAGTGGTCTGCTGCCCAGCTGAACCCACAGAAATAATACCAAGGAATATCACCTCTTGACTGATCGGGCCTGTGTGCTGAAGCCTAGCCTGGGTTTCAGGTGGTGGACTCGAGGCTGGTCTCCGTGTTCGACGCCAGGGAGCTGGAGCTGGTGATCGCTGGCACGGCCGAGATCGACCTGACGGACTGGCGGAACAACTCAGAGTACCGGGGAGGTGAGCGAGCAGGGCTGGTGACGGGTCCACCGTCACAGACACAGGCTTCAGTAAAAAAAATGTTATTGAGGGGAAATTGACATGACGTGATATTAACCAAGGGAACAGCGCAGCGTGCTCAGTGCTTCACATCGTTGTTCACCCGTCACCTCTAGCTCGTTCCAGAGCATCTCCTCATCCCCAGAGGAAACCCTGCACTCATAAAGCTCCCCATTCCTCCCTCCCCCGAGCCTCGCAGCTATCAGTCTGTGTTCTGTCTCTGTGGTGGTACCCAGGCTGCGTAGTTCATGTGAAAAGAATCACACCATGTTTGCTTCTGGCTTCTTTCCTTTGGTAAGGTCTGTTCCTGTTGTGGTATGTTTCAGTACTTCACTCCTTTTTAATGGCTGAGTGATATTCATGTACATGTTCTATATGTAGCAAGGATATAAGTAGAATATAATATCACTTTTTGAAGATGACCAAAAACTTGGCCTTCCTTCAATATACATGCAAAGTAGATTTTTCATGCCTGCCTTCCTCCAGCTTGCAACCTGAACTTTCCTTCTGGTGGTAGTCACCCCCGTTGGTCATCTCTGGCATGACTCCGTGTTGATGCATTACGGAGAACACGACCATTCACGGGCCAGCTTGAGAGCTGGGTCACATGACAGCGGAGGAGTGTGTCCTGCTTCCTGTAGAACTGAAGCCTCAATCCTGGTTTGCTGCAACACAGTTCTCGCTGTCATCTCTCCCAATCTGACATCTAACCTTCCTGACTGTTCATGCTGCCAAACTAGTCTTCCTGAAACATAATTTTCATCAGACCGTTTCTCAACTCCCAAAACAAGCTCCTTATTACTTATAGGAGATGTCTTCGAAAGTTATTTATTTTCCAAACCCTTTCTTCATATACAGTATTGCAGAGAAACCCCAATCAGTGCAATAGAGGGTATGCAAGGAGCTGGCCACCTCAGCCTCCCTTTGTACAGGAAAATAACTGGGCACAAGAGGATGGCCGTGTCCCAGGTCTTGGTCGAGTCCTTCGATTGAGTCCCTCAGTCAAGCCCCTGGGACCTGCCAAGTGAGGGTCCTTGGCTTTGCACAGGGAAGAATTCAAACGCAAGCCACAGTTGAGTAAAAGTAGATTCATTCAGGGAGATACACACTCCATAGAGTGCAGGCCATCTCAGAAAGCAAGAGAAAGGCCTAGGAGATACATGTTCCATAGGCAGAATGCGGGCCATCTTATTCAGAAGGCAGACAGGTGGCCTCAGAGTATGGGGTCAGCTAGGAAAAGTGAGATTGGCCATGAGGTGTGGAGGTTCTTAGTTTTTATGGGTTCAGTAACTTCATATGCTAACAAGTTGGAGGATTATTCTGACTACTTTGGGGAAGGGGCTAGGAGTCCCAGGAACCAGGCCATCATCCACTTGTTGACCTCTTATGGTCAGCCTTGAAGCTGTCCCGGCACCCGTGGGAGGGCCATTTAGCAGCTAGCGTATTTCAGTGAGTGTATATTGAAGCTCAAGTGTATATTGTGTATATTGAACTCTCCTTGGAGTTGCATCTTCTGCCATCTTGGTGCTAATTGCTGTGTCGTTCTTTTAATGGTTGTGCCCTGCCCCCTGCCCTCCTGTCTCACCTTGTCTCCCTGGTGTCCTCAGCTGTGTAGGAGGACACCTCTGTGGGGCCATGAGGCCCTTCCTGGCTTGGTAAGAAAGCCACCAACGTAAGGTGTCATGTTGCAGTGTCTCTGCCTAGCTGTTAAGGTCTTTAAGCCCCAAGAAAGGTTCCCTTCAGTCCTCGCCAGGACCCCCTCTAGTCATCTTGCATATTTATTCTTCATTCTTGTCATTCTTTATTTCCCCTCCCCTACCCACACGACCCATCATGTGCTTAACTCACACCTGACTTCTCTTGTATGAAGCTTCCCCTCCTTCCACCAGAGATCTCTCCCATCTCTGAATTGTATTTGCAGTGGTGAATCATATCACTTAACTGTTTGCTCCAGGTGTGGTCTCCCAGCTGTGACATGCCCCATACTTCTCCCACGGGCCCAATTCATCCCAGCCCAGGGCTGGCCCAAGGGCTTCTAGGGATCCTGGCATCTTCCATTCATCAAGCTTGACATTTACCTCCACCCTTTCTAAGTCCTAGACACTCCCACACTACATGGTTACCAAGAGCTAAGGCATCAGAACAAAGGAAAAATGAAGAAATACTATATTCATGGAGAGTTTTGTCTCTTCAGAAGCCCAGAAATCCCTACCGAGCCTCACCACTCCTTGTCTGCATTTATATCAGGCAGGGAAATGACTGCTGAGGTCCAGATTGTTTAAAAGAGAGCAAACATCTCCGAGAACATCCCTCAGAATGTAAAATCTTCTTATAAAATAGCCATTTTCTAAATCTTTTGTTTTGAAACTTGACCTAGTTATGCAAATTGTCTTAGACCTACCTAATGGCCATCCCTAGAGGAAACAGCAAATCAAAAGCTGCTGTTCAGTTCACCCCTGAGGTGTATTTCATTCCTCTCCCCGCTCCTTTCCTCCCTCCCATCTCCACATCCACTCTTGTCTCCCTCCCTCTGCTCCGCCTAGGTTATCACGATGGGCATCTTGTGATCCGCTGGTTCTGGGCCGCGGTGGAGCGTTTCAACAATGAGCAGAGACTACGGTTACTTCAGTTCGTCACGGGAACATCAAGCGTGCCCTACGAAGGCTTTGCAGCCCTTCGAGGGAGCAACGGGCTTCGGCGTTTCTGCATAGAGAAATGGGGGAAAATTACGTCTCTCCCCAGGTACGCAGCTCCTGCCCACCTTTGGGAAGCCTGCCAAAGGGCACCAATTATACTTTGTTATTTGAACTTGGGTGGGCATCCTTTGGGATGAGATTCTTTCCTTAAAATAGTGTTCTCTGAGTCATTAGTGGAAGAAGTGGGTGAGAAGTCTCTGGGAGGTGCATTTAGACAGAATTCTAAGTGATTTTTTGATGATTGATGGTATTTGTGTTGTAAGCATCAAGGTCCACGTGTCAGTCGTACGTAGCCCAGCTGAATTTAAAGACGAATGTCTCACCTGGGGAAGGGGGATGCAAAGAAGTTGGAAGCCCAAAGTGGCCCTTCCAGCACAGTGTCTGTACCTCCGTGGCACATTGCTTGATGCTCCATGAGACAGTCATCATGTACATGTTACGTTTTCCATACTGTGTTTTAAAATGTGTGCAGACAAGACCACGTGTATCCTGGCTTTCTACAGTGGCTTTTATATAGTAAGGCATTGAGAAATTTATTGTAAGATAATGCAGAAAACCAAGAATTAGGGCTCCAGGCAGTTTAACAAAATGAATTCCTTATACCGTGAGTTTTAATCCCAACACTTCTTGGGTCCTTTCTATGCCGCTTTGGGTCACACAGTCGTGCAGGCTAATCTTGTATCCTGCTCCCTTGCTGAATTCATTTATCAGCTCTAGAAGTTGTTCTGTGGCGTCTTTAGGGTTTTCTATATATAGTATCATGTCACCTGCATATAGTGACAATTTTACCTCTTCTTTTCCGATTTGGATCCCTTTTATTTCTTTTTCTTGTCTAATTGCTGTGGCTAGGACTTCCAAGACTATGTTGAATAGAAGTGGTGGGTAGCGTATTCCTGATCAGTGAAATAAGGAGCACTAAGGAGATACTTCTGTGTACATGCTACGGTAACAAATACTGCTCAACAAACAGAAGAAAAGACTGAGTCACATTATTTTCTTCTACTATGATATTTTCTAATTATAATAGAAGATTCGTATTTAATTCAGCTCTGTTTCTACATGGCCTCCCAGACGCTTTGCTAAATCCCTATTGTGGAAGGATTTACTGAGCTATAATTTTCATTTAGCCTTCCTAGACTTTCCAGCACCCCAGAGATAATTCACATGATGACAATATTGGAGCATTAGGAGGCCCGGGAAAGAGCGCATGCCCAGCTGGTTAATAACAGCCTAAAGCCTTGGGGCACTTTTCAGCCCTGGCTTCATCCAATTAGTTCAGCAGACCTTCAGTGCTCATTTGCATGGTTCTGCTGACTGCTGAACCTACTGAATTAAGTCTGGCAAGAAAATAAGGCTATAAAAAGGCAGAATTTCCATTTGTCTAGTTTAATGATAGACGTGGAGGGTGAGGTTATGTGGAAACAGTTTGCTCCTGCTTTGGAGAAGTGAGTCTGAGTCACCACTTGATGACAGCCTACGCTCACGGCGGGCACCTGACTGTGCACCTGCGGGAGGGGCTGAGATGCAGCAGAGCGCAGTTTAGGGAGGAACAGGGCCTGGTAGTAAGCAGGTGGAATCAGAGGGGCACTGAGAAGGGAAGGGAAAAGCCAGGTGCCGTGAGGATGTAGAAGAGAGACTTTACCCTGATTAGTTTGACAGGAGATGATGTCACAGAGAGGCTGGCATTTAAGCGAGCACTGGGCGGGGGGTGGGGTGGGGGCAGGAAGAGTGGAGGGGATTCCAGGATGAAGCAGCAGCAAGAACAAGGCCCGGGAGTGTGGGGGCCAGCTGTGCTCAGGAAGGAGCATGAAGCCAGCACGGGGGACAAGATGTTCAATGTGACACTCGCAGGGGACACGGTTGAGAGGGAGAGAGTTTGACGGACAGTGGAGAGAAAACCACTGAGAAGTCTTATTCTTTGGGGAATGTAAGTCATTGCTTTGGCATCTGGGATCACAGATGGAGTCTAGTTACAGCTGTACTCTGGGAAGCTTTGAAATAGGCATTAATCCTATTAACCCACACAGAGAACTCATAAGGTGGGCATTGGTTTATGAACAGACTCTGCACATCTAGGCCAATTCCTCCCCATAAAGGCTGCTGCCCTGCAAACCCCAGAGGGGATTCCTGGGGGAAGCAGGGCCTAAGATGCCCCCAAGAAGCAGGTGCTGACATCCCTCTGAGAAGACAGAAAAATGACCCTTGGAGTCGTAACCCCTGACTTATCTCTCTTGTACATTTTCTGAAGATCCAAGAACCTAAGAAGTGTCACGTCTGTGTCGAGAGAAAGAAATAACCTCTGACTCCCAAGAATAATAGTTCGGGGGGAGACCTGGCCAAGCCACATGGCAGGTGATGGGGAGCCCAGAGGCGAGCAGGAGTGCCGGGCACTCACAGGGTGACCCGGGCTCCCTAGAGACCGTGAGCCCCCTGCACACCACCCACACTCCGAGGAGAGGCGTCCAGAGCTGCTTTCCTCTCAGATTTTCCCTCTACAGAAAGGCAGCTGGCCTGCCAGAGAAGACTGCCAAACAGCATCACAGCAAAATCGTACATCAGTCCAAGTCCTTGCCTTCTGGAGTGTGTGAGGATCAGCACAAAGAGCTTTGAGGGTAGGGGTCCCTGGGATACAATTTTACTACAATTGTTCTGTGCCTGGTGGAGAAACTTCATGAACCACCATCCCCGAAGCATGACAAGTGGGATGGTCACTGGGGTTGAGGTCAAGGAGCTGGCAGGCGAGGACACGCTGGCCTCAGATCCTGCACAGTCTGGCAGAAGATCCATCATGGAAAGCATTTAAGCCAAGAACCACAGATTTTAATAAATGTAGTTACCTAGAAGGTCAGAAGCTATGGGAGATACATCGCTGGTTGTCAAACAACAGGGTCTAACTACAGCCCACAGAAAGAAGCACCCTTTACATCATGACTGGTCCAGCCATACATCCTCCTGCGCGTGTGTATCTGACACTCAGTTTCTTCAAAACAATACTTTGTCCTTATTACCTGCGGGTAATAACACTGTTTCATTAAAATAAAATGCCAAACAAAAACCTGGAGTTTGGGGGGAAAAATTATCTACATGGCATGAGATTCAAAGGAACAGAAATTTTTGATCAAAGATTGAAAAATAACGATTTGGAATTGGCAGTGAGGCGTGAAGAGTGCTCTTCCATCCACATCCCAGAGCGTGGCGGGATGAGGGATGTCTGACTCCGCTCGTGAGGGCTGAGAAGAACTCGAGAACTTAGAGGCCACGTCCAGGATGGAAGATGGGAGAGCTTCCTTCCTGCAAAACGAGGGCTGGAAAGGGGACAGAGGAAAGACTTGGAAGGAAAGATTACGTAGAAGTTGGTCTGGATAGACAGAGCACAGGCAGCGTGGAGATAGAACAAAGGAATAGAAGGTTTACATTCAGAGTAGGGACCAGGGGTAACAGAATTATGAGTCATGGGCAGATAAACTGGGCTAAGGGTAGCAAGCAATTCTGACATGAACATGTTTCACTGTGGATGTCAGCTGAGCCCCAAGCTCAGGGTAGAGGCCAAGGCTTGGTTAAGTGAGTGCTCAGCTTAATCTATAGGGATGGTTCTCAAGGAGAGGCAGAAAGAGGTGGTTTTGCCCCCCAGGGCACATTTGGCCGTGTCTGGAGACATTTTTGGCCGTCGGGGAAGGATGCTCCTGGCATCCATCAGGCAGAGGCTGAGGATGCTTCTCAACACCCACAGTGCACAGGCAGCCCCTCCCGGTGGGAAATCACCAGGCTCGGAGTGTTCGTAGTGCCGAGGTGGGAAGTCCCACCCTGCAGGCTGCTGGGTTGCAGAGGAGGCACGAGGGAGCCATGGGGAATCCCTGCGAGAAACTGACGGCCGCTGAGAAGCTGCAGAGAAGCCAAGGGGAAAGAGGTGTTCATAGGAAGAGCTGTCAGACGCTTTCAAGGAGCTTGGGGTGGGTGGGGTGGGGAGCACAGCTCTGGATTTGGGGATGGGGAGCTTACTGACAAAGTTGGAAAAGGGTTGATTCAGCGGTGGGGTGGGTGAGAACCTGTCTGGAGATCCAGATCATCGATGGGCGGCGGAAGAGGAGGACATGAAGGGGAGACATAGCTTAAATCACCCGCCTCCCAGCAGAAGTGAGGACCACATCCTGAGACCCATTTAAGGTGCTGGATGGAACACGAGCCAGTAGCTTGAAAGGAAATACGCTGACATTTCTGAACACGTAGTAGCTGTCAGGCGGGGCATTCATACAGCTGATCTCATTCAGTCGCCACAGCAACCCCATTTCAGAGATGATGAGACTAAATCCCAGCAGGCTCAAATAAGGGGCCCAAAGACACCCACCTATGAGGAGTGGGTTGGGATTGGAACCCAGGACTGTCCGCACACAAGGCCCATGCCTTGCATTCGATCATACAGCCTCCTTTGTGAGTCATAAAGAGCTGGCTCCAGACGCATGGGTTCCTGGAGTCAAACCGCCAGGGTTCAGGTCTCTGCTCCATCGCTTGCTGTGTCTGTGACCAAGAAGGGGAAGGCATTTAAGCTCACTCTCCTCGAAATAAAATGGGAGCAAATATTCGTGCCTCGTGCCCAGTGCAGACACTCAGACGTCGAGCCGTCAGGCGAGCAAACTGGCTTCTGTCCGCAGCGCAGCCTGTTGGGCAGGGCTCCCAGGTTAGCGCAGACACCACTTTCCCGCGCCAAGCCGAACAGAGCACCCAACCCCGCACTGAACAGATGCTCCACCCACCGCAAGGCAGTAAGTCACCTCCCACAATTTACACTGAATTACCCACCTCAGCACAGCCAGATGAACAGCCCTCAGAGGCAGCAAACTCTTAGCTCAGTCGCAGTAAACTCACTTTTTTTAATTTTAGTATTTCACAGTGTGTCGGGGT